AATGATGCTTACAAAGATCAGGGCCACTGTCTGTGATAAGAGATCAAACCTGGCTGGAGCAGTGAAAAATGTAAAACAGACTCCAGTAACCCTCGGGCTTAGATGTTCATTGATGCTCCATGATCCAATCTCCTTAACACAGGATGTCTTTGAATCTGAAAGCCAAGTATGATAACACACACACAAATAGTTCTCCACATACACCCTTAACTTGGGATCCCATATGCAACAGACCCGCTGGCAGAACCCATGAGGGGCATCTCATTGGCAATGTGGGTAATCCACTTGCCCACATACATGGTAAGGACGTAAGTAAGCTAGAATTAAAACTACTGTGCTAGAGCTCCTGACCCCTGTGCCACCCTTGGGCACCACCCCCTCCTTCAATAAGGACTACCCCAGGCCCTAGGGGAGTTCCTGGGACTTGGCTCTGGGAAAAGATGGTGAGAGGCAGGGCCCCAGCTATAGTGCAGCACCAGTCCCGAGATGCTAGGGAAAGGATATGAAGGTGCCCTGGCCATACTTTGCCTGTATGCTTAAGGCTGGAGGTAAGACCAACACTGTTACAAAACAGGATGGCCATGTGTGGCTCCTTAGGACTGGCTGGCTGGGCAGCGTGACCCCTTCAATCCCGCTTGTGCTGCCAAACCACTGCATAAGGCTATTTGTCATTTATGCTCAATACATGAGAAATGCGGGTAAATTCCGGCCACCACAATGCTCTACAACTATTCCCACATCTATAAAACAGCAGCCTTAAGCTGGAAGAGCATCTGCTACTTTGGTTTGGGGGTGAACCAAATAAAGAGGTCAGTGCTACTTCTGTTTCAGTTAGCCAGTTTGTCGTGGAACAGAAGATTCCTCTAAACTCAAAGCCAGTTATGCGTGCAGCCCAAAGTTCATCTTGTCAGTATTCTTATTAACTGCATGCCATTCACAGAACCACAGTAAAGAACAGATAGCCCATGCAGGGTGGCACATGCCTAATAACACCAGAACTCTGGACGCTGATGCAGAAGGATTAAAAGTCCAAAGCTAATATAAGCCACATTGTGAAACTACGCCTCAAAACATTTAATCAGATACACAAAAAAAAGTAAAATATTCTGTAAGACATGGCACACATCAGGTGCTCAATGAATGGTAACTTAGATTATTCACTAACTTCACCAGTGAAGAAGATACAGCACCAAACACTGCTGTCTCTAAAGTACTGTTTTCACGCCAACAGCATCCTGAGCAGACAGGACTATGGTAAAGCTCTCAGGTCACCAGCTGGCTCCTTTTAGAATTCAACCATGCCTATCTCCTCGTGGGAGACCCTTTCTTCTGAAGTCCTTATTCCATCCAAGACCAAGCCATAACAGCCGAGCCAAACAGAGGGGCAAAGGACAGTGGTTGGAAGACACAGCCTGACACAGTTATATCTAGACAGCAATCTCTGTGGGCCACAACCTGACCACTACTCTGTCCTCTTGGTAAGATGACTGTGCCTAGCTCTGGGTAGCATTAAAAAGAAAAACTATAGCATTTCAACCTAGATGCCCAAGGATTAAGCTAATTTGGTTTCAGACACCTCAGCCACACTCTACCCTAGACAAAGTTCCCATGACACCAGCTGTTCACTACTGTGGGCTATCTGGTTCCTTTCAGAATCCAAGCACACCCAGGAGGTGAAAGATAGGAAGAGGGTGAGTTCAAAGTGATGATTAGATCAAGTCAAGATCAATCTGGGACTCATGAGACCCTGTCTTAAGCAAAACAAACAAAGATATACAATGCAGGCCCATGGTGAAACACATTGAGACAGTACCTGGCTAGCATGTATGGGGCCCATACATATGTTCCAGCCGCAGCACAGAGGAAGGGGTGTGGCAGGGGGAAAGACACAATATATACAAACTAATTAGCGGCTGAACCTTTCAAGCCATCAAAGGCACTGTCAAACGTTACACAGCCCTTTAGTCTGTGAAAATATCTTCACTCTCAAAGCTCATAGAATGCCCCACAAACACCAGCCAGTGAATACAAGAACCTTCAGAAGGCAAGAACAGCTTTCTCTCCCACTCCCTTAGATCAGGTTCCACAGCAAGTGACCAAGATGAGGGACTGGCCCAATATAACTAGCTATTAGGTTCTATGTATGCCAAATAAAGGCAAAGAATAATAAAAATAAAAGCACTTGTTAAAGTAAGAATTATCACGTACATGAGCAGTTATTAATCCTTCATATTAAAAACTCAATCTCCAAATTACTCAATTTGAAGCCACCATACCCTTTTGGCGGAATCTTTGTCTGTCTGTCTGTCTGTCTGTCTGTCTGTCTGCTGGATTGCTATGGACAAAGTCCAGGCTCTCTGGCATACTAGACATGTTCTGTGCCACCAAGCCACATCCCCAGCCCAAACACAACTCAGCTGATGATAGCTTGGCATACTGAAAGGGTTCCCTCACAAAACTTTCAAGACAACGAACAAGTAGGTTGAGAAAGTCAGCACACATTAATTATAATAATACAAATAATATAATGATATAAATTATGTAAGTCACACAAATAATTTCAATAGTTTTGTAATTGTCATTAAAGCCAGACTTTTAAATGTCACTTTAAGAGACCACACAGAGACAGTAAAACCAGCAAGTGAAGAGAGTGATGACCCCAAACATAGCAATGGGCACTCCTAAGTTGGTATGAAATTTCTAGGGGCGTCAGTAACTGAGCTTTCCAAAAAAGCCTCATCTCAAGTCACTTGTGAGAGCAGAGTTGAGAGGCTTGTCAGATAGGGACTCCAAGTGTGCTGAAGACAACCAAGACCCTGCTCAAAAGGACACATTTGTGACCTGCAAATGAAAGCAAACAGGACCCCAGTACATTTTACCCCTGCACAGTCCCCAAACTCAGCTGCAACTGATTTAAGAACATGGATAAGCTGTGTAGATAATAGTCTATAATTTACACATCTTAAACATTTTCATAGTTCCATTAGACCAAAAGCTCTGAGAGGCTTCTAATGAAGAAAGGGGGAAATGTGATATTTATGGTTACTATTAGGTCAAATTTGTTAAATGATGGTGTGAGTATCCACTGACAGCAGCAGCACCAGAAAGCATCAATATGGTTTCAGGGACAATGAAGTAACAAGAGCCCATTTGGAAGAAATTTCTAGCTGGTCTCTGCCTTGTAAGTTTATGGGTGGCTTATTCATACATAACATGCAATTTCAGTACCTTTCTCTTTTTACATCCATCACTGTCCCCTTGACTATTCCTCAAGACCTAATGTTGTCACCTCAAAGTCGCACAGAGGCCTTCCAGCTGACCAAGAAGAAACCCAGTGACTACTAAAAAAATCAATGAAGAAAAGCTACAGATATTGTAATCTCTGCCTCTGCTACTTTGCTTTCTGAATATGATGGAAATAACACTAGATTTAACTCTGGCTTTTCCCCAGAACCTGAACTTAGTCCTGAGACAACTGTAAGGGGAAGCTTGCGCTCTAGTTGACACAACAGAATGAAAGAAAACACAGTCTCAAATTCCCAGAAGTGTGACATCCTAAACCACGGCGTACATGGCCTCACAGAACATCAACCCAGGGTCTCAAAATTGGGTCGGTCTAAACATGAATTTCTTAGACTCAAGCACTATTGCTAAAGCTACAAGCTACCACCTTGTGTTCAAGTTCTAAAGAATGCTAGCAGCATACGGTTCCAGAGCAGTCTGAGGCTGGGCCTTTTCCTCCATCAGAGGCGTCTGTAAGCTTCAAGCCATTCACAACTCAAGGCGAACTGGACCCACTGTAAGCAGTCATCAAAATGCCCAAGCATCTCCCTGGTATTATAGTTCCAGAAGTTATGTAATTACTGAAGGAAGAGGAAGCAACCAACTAATCTTGCAATTTTAATTATGGTGTTAGAGTAAAAATAACATGGGAAACAAAGAAAAGTTTCTGAACTTCTAATAGACATTTAGCTAGATTTAATCACAACTAAAATCCAAATTTAAATTTTGATCCTTCAGTAACCATCCCAAGTATACCTTAACCATCTTTGCCCACCCTTTCTTCCTGGTCCACAGAAAGCTCAAATTCAGACATTCACAAAAAAAAGTCTTCCAACCAAAACAGAAGTGAAGTACATATAATGCAGTTGTGCAAAATCTATAGTGAAAATTAAGAACAACTGTCCACCTGGGAAAACCACCCTGCTTACTGAGCCCATGAGAGGTCTAAGGCTTGACAGGGGAGGTCAAGCCCGGTCAGGACACAGCCCTCCTGGGGACTCCAGGTAAACTCCTTCCTTCTGAGCGCCACTGTAGTTGTCATTCTCCTCGCAGGGTCTGCCCACTCTGCCCTCTGCCCTGTCCTCCTTAACAGACAGTCGGGCACAGGCAAAAGGCTGTCAGCATCTTGTCAGCCATCAGAACCAGGAAACCATTAAGTTAGTCCCGGTTAAGTTCTAAGTCCCCAGCTGGTGGGCTGAGGAAGGAGGAAGACTATGCAGGTGTGGGGGAAGATGGTTGTTTCTGGGGGTTTGGAGGGTGACAAAAGAGAGAGAGAAAGAGAAAGAGAGAGAGAGAGAGAGAGAGAGAAAGGTAAGTAGGTAGATATAGATAAATAGACAGAGTTGAATGATTAAACAAAAACAGGCCTAGTCAAAATGGAAGTGGTGGGGAGTGGCAGGTCAGAAGGCATGCCCACCTAGGGAGAGATGGGTTCTGAAACACATGAACAGGTTCTTGGGAGCAGATGTAAGCACTGTGCTCATGTACTTAGAAAGTGACTTAGGTGCCCACAAGAAGTCGGGGGCGGGGGGGAGGGGGCGTGCTGTGATAGGATGTGGATGTAGCCAAGAATTGGTAAAGTGAGAACTGACGGCCATGCAGAGTCCCTGGAAAACAGAGAAGTTGTTAGTCTCTTCTATTTCTAATCACATATCCACGTGCGCACAAACATACACATTCCCACACAGTGGCGCCATGTCACTGGGGTCCATTCTTACCTTAGCCACTGGCAGGCTCCTATTAGTCGCCACATCGCACAAACTGGAGGTAGAGCTGCCCGCCACCGCCGGGAGAAAGACCGGAGAGCGCGGGGGACTGCCTGTCGCGCCTCCGGGGATGCCCGCGAGAGCTGACAAAGTACTGGGACCCGGGCGCGCGGGAGGGCTGCCCCCGGGGCTGGCGCCGGTGCGGGGCCTCTGGCGGATGCCATCCAGCAGGCGCACTAGTAGTATGTTGGCGGGCAGCTCGTCCACACCGCAGCCCACCAGGATGCGGCACTCGGGACAGCGTAGCTCGTGACGCGAGCACACGATGCTCTCCAGACAGCGTCGGCAGAAGGTGTGCTGGCATGGCAACACCTTGGCCGTAGTGTCCAGGCGCTCCAGGCACACGGAGCATTCCAGCAAGTCCAGCAGCGATGACTCGTCCATATCCTCGTGCGTCCTCGCTTGGGCCTCCCGTTGCTGCTCACCCTGGCGGTCGTCGTCCTCGCTCCGAGCTGTAGCGGCCGCCGCCTTGGACGCGCACAGCCAAGACGCTCCAAGCAGCATGGGGGAGGCGCCGGCGCGGGCCCAGCGAGCCGCCTAAGTCCAGGAGCCAGAGGCTGGCCCGCCGAGGGGAGCGGGCATCTGCACCCAGCCCGGGCGGCAGCCGTCCATAAACAGGGTTCCGTCCCCCGCGGCGCGCTGACAACCCTAGACGCTGGCCTCCACGATTTGCAAAGTGACACGCGGACCCTGCCAGCTAGGCGGGGACCGGAGTTACTGGAGCCTCGAGTCAACTCCAGCCGGCTGAGCGGGTCCTACGCGCGCGGCCCGCCACTGCGGGCTACACCTGTCCCGCCGCTCCGCTCGCGCCCGGGAGCCCAGCGGCAGGAAGCGCGGGGAGAGGCCGGCCGGGTCCCGGGGGAGGCCGAGGCGCGGCGTGCGCGCTCCCCCGCGCCGCAGGCGAGCCGCGCCGCCCCCCTCGGCGCCTCCATGCGCCCCCGGGCTGCCAGGGGGCCGCCGCCTCGCTCAACTAGCCCAACCGGACCCCTCTCCGACCGCGAGCACGTGCGCGGGGGCGGGCGGCGGTCCCGGGCACCGCGGGGGTGCTAGGAAACCCACACCTCTCCCGCCTTGGCGCTCTCCTGTTAGGCCACCTCCCGGGCTCCCGAGAACTTCCCCTGCGCAGGCTTGGCCCTGTCCCCTCTGGACGCTGGGTTCTCCGAGAGCTGGAAGAAGGGACGTTTCTTCTCAACGCCTCCGCGACGGAAAGTTTGCGAGCATTATCCCGACTGCTTTCCGCGCCAGCGCTGGGGAGCAGCCTGAGGACGCATCCGACACCCAGGCATCCTTCCGGGCGACTCCGGGGAGCACTCTTGCTTGTGTCCCCTCCCCCGCCAGCACGCACAAGTGACAGCTGTGGCTGGAGGTGCGAGGGTGTCCCTTGAGGCGAGAGGGGAAGGCCCTGGAGCTAGCGGGGTCCCCGGGGCCGACCACCTTCGGGAGGCAGGCTGCCCTCTCCAGAATCCCTGGTGTGTGACTGCCGCCGCCGCCCACGCGCCAGCACACTCTGGCCGAGCGGCGCGCCCCTGGCGGCGCGCGGAGAGATTCCTGCGCCGGTTCTGGTGCGCCCTGGTGAACCAGCTCCAGATTTTCCTCGTGAGGCTCAAAGGAGGGGGAATTTGCGCTCCTTCCCGGTGCCCGGGTTTCTGGGAGCGTCAGAGCGACGGAAGTACGTACGAGGACCCGGAGCAGCAGGGAAGTTTGGCGGTGGGCTGCGGTCGGCTTCCGAGATTTCTTGCCCTGTGCTGCCCCCTTGTGGCCCCCTTGTGTTTCCAACGCTCTCGAGCCCGGCAGAGGCAAAGGTCTAGCAAGCTGGTCCAAGGTAAACAGGAGATGCCAGGGCTGACATCAGAAACGGTGTGGATGCCCCTCCTACCTGTAGGGCTGCCCTGTTGTTTGTGAAGCTGAGTTCCGCTTTCCTAGTTTTTAGGAAGAAAATAAAATTTGCTGTTGCTTAAATGTCAAGATATCTGCATTTTTTTAATGTTCTAAACAACCCTGTCATGTCACATGTAAGGAAAATGAGTCTCATTATTATGAAGCTATTAAATTATATTTAATTTTTGTGTTCCCAGAACCCAAATGCACAAAGACCACATGCTAGCAGAGCAGTTGCCTGTAAGCCGTGTGTCTCTTGCAGTGTACTATTTTCCAAGCTGGGTGGTCAGTAAATACTTTTTTTAAAAAATGATTTAAAGAGTGTCTTGTTGTTTAGCTTCCTTAGGAGTACAGATTTTGATATATTTATCCTATATTATAATGGCTAATATCCACTAATGAGTGAGTATATACCGCGTGTGCCTTTCTACTTCTGGGTTACCTCACTCAAGATGATCTTTTCTAGTTTCCACGTTTGCCTGAAAATTTCATGATTTCCTTGTTTATAATTGCTGGATAGTATTTCATTGTGTAGATGGACCACAATTTCTCTATCCATTGCTCAGTTGAGGGACATCTAGGTTGTTTCCAGATTCTGGCTATTACAAATAAAGCTGCTATGAACATAGTTGAGCAAATGTCCTTGCATTTTTGAGCATATTTCAGATACACATTTTGGAGTGGTATAGCTGGATCTTGAGGTAGCACTATTCCTAATTTTCTGAGAAAGTACCAAATTGATTTCCAAAGTGGTTGTACAAGTTTACATTCCCACTAGCAATGGAGGAGGATTCCCCTTTCTCCACATCCTCTCTAGCATGTGTTGTCAATTGAGTTTTTGATCTTAGCCATTCTGATTGGTGTAAGGTGAAATCTCAGAATTGTTTTGATTTGCAGTTCCCTGATGACAAAGGACATTGAGCATTTCTTTAAGTGTTTCTCTGCCATTCGATACTCCTCTATTGAGAATTCTCTGTTTAGCTCTGTATCCCATTTTTAATTGGATTACTTGGTTTGTTGGTGTTTAACTTCTAAAGAAGCTAAACAACAAGGAAGACCCTAGGGAAGATGTTCAATCCTTATTCAGAAGGACAAATGCGATAGGCATTGGAAGCAGGAGAAGACAGGGAACAGGACAGGCGCCTACCACAGATGGCCTTTGAAAGACATTACTGATAGAGGTATCGAAGCAGAGGCTGAGACTCGGAGCCAAACTTTGGGCAGAGTGCAGGGAATTTTATGAAAGAAATGGGAGATAGAAAGATCTGAAGGTGACAGGAGCTCCAAAAGGACACCAACAGAGCCCCCCAAAAAAAACTGAGCCCTGAGGGGCCTGAAGAGGCTGATACACCAACCAAGGACCATGCATGGAGATAATCTAAAACCCCAACTCAGATGTAGCCCATAGACTCAGTCTCCAAGTGAGGTCCCTAGTAATGGGAACAGGGACTGTCTCTGACATGAACTCAGTATCTGGCTCTTTGATCATCTCCCCCTGATGGGGTGCAGCCTTGTCAGGCCACAGAGGAAGACAATGCAACCCATCCTGATGAGACCTGATAGGCAAGGGTCAAATAGTAGGGGAGGAGGACCTCCCCTCAGTGGACTAGAGGAGGGTCATGGGAGGAGAAGAGGGAGGAGGGTGGGATTGGGAGGAGACAAGGGAGGGGGCCACAGCCAGGATACAAATTGAATAAACTTTAATAAATTATAATAATAACAAATAAAAGAGTGTCTGAGTCTCATCATCCAGTGATGATTTGAACACAGACCTTAGGCTCCTCAATTCCAGATATTCTGAGTTCCTATCAGGCTGCCAGTTCCTGAAAATTTTGGGAAGCAGATAGTCTTCCCAGCCAATATCTGCATCATTTATATCAGTATTGGCAAGGGTGTATGTAGTGAGCATTTTGGTTTCTTTAAAACCCAGTTATGTGAATGTGTTTTTATTTTAACCCCAGGTGTGGGATACGGGGCTGCTTCAGAATGTCCACGGCAGCTGACTGTAATGTGTCTGCTCTGGCAGGGGCATGATTTGTGCCAGCTGCAGGTAGTTCAGTTTTGGGAACTGTTGAGAGGGTATGAATGGGAGATCCCTGAGGGGCCTGTGGTGGCTGCTGCCCTGCTGGGGCTGGTCCCTGCTGCTGCTGCCCTGCTGGGGCTGGTCCCTGCTGCTGCTGGTCCCTGCTGGGGCTGGTCCCTGCTGCTCTCCCAGCTGCGGCTGCTGCTCCATTTGCTATTGCTGAATTACAAGTTTGCTGGTTTGCTGGATATTCTGACAAAGAAGATGGACTTGTCCCTAAAAACCTACTGACCCTAATCAGCAGAAAGTGGGCTAAAGAGTTCTTTCTACATGCTCATTCCCTTCTCACCTTTCCCACCTGCCTAGTGTTGGGGAGTTGGAAGGGATTGGGGTGGAGAAGGGTAGTAGATAGAAGAATGCAATAAAAGTTGGGCATGGTGGCACACACCTTTAATCACAGCACTAGAGAGACAGAGGCAGGCAAATTTCTATGATTTCAAGGCCAGCCTGGTCGCCAGGACAGCCAGGGCTACACAGAGAAACCCTGTTTCAAAACACTAAACAAACAAAAGAACCCAATAAAAATGGCTTTAAAAAATGCCTTCAGATGTATGGTAAAACTGTCTATCTTATAAAGAGGTAGGAGGAGTGGAGATTGAAATTTGCTCTCAGACCTTTGCTCAGGAAACACCCAAGGAGAATTTGTGAGAGGACCCAGAATGCCTGATTTATGAGTGTTGATCAGGACCCAGGAATGGGAGAGCATGCAGACCATCCCCGCAGGCACAGTAGGATAAAGTTGTTGTCCATGATGATATATCAAGGGTATTTTTGCATGCAAAAGAGAAACTAACTTAAAAAAAAAAAAAAACCTTAAAAGGTGCATAGTAAGAGCAATCATATGGAACCGCAGGCTAAGGAATGTGCCAGGTTAGTGAAGACAGTGTCTCCCGAACCTGGGTCTTTCCATTACATGCAGTGGCTCCTTCCTTCCCTGCATCCAGGTACCACATGATAGAAAATATGGCCAAAGCTTGTACTGGATCCAGAAGTAAAGTGTGCAGTTAGCATCAGCCACCAACAGGATGGGTATCTGATACTGTCATGGGCTGACGAAAAGATTGAAAACCCTGTCACCTAGCCTGGGCTAGTGGCCACTCTCTGAGCTGTTGTCTACAAGAAGCAAAATCGTATGAAATTTGGCAGCGTCCTCAGAAGTTACACAGAAAAGGAAGTATGGGTTCCTGGAAGGACTGTCTGGGAAAGCAAAAACAGATGTCCATTCTGGGAGCCCAGGACATCTGTGTCGTCAGAGTCCCTCATTATGCACAACTAAAGTGAAGATGAGTAAACTCAGGGCTACTGAACCTCACCGTGCCTGGACTTCCTGTGCTTCCTCGCTCTGCCCTTCGGCACCTACACAGCCAACTCCTACAGTAGTCAGCCTCTGAGACCAAACTCACACAAAGTCTGAGTTTGTGAGGCCAAACTCACACAAAGTCAGGCAACAAGGCCTAGTTAGGGACTGTGATGATCTACCTGCACTTTCCCAGGGGAAAACTGCTCCTCAGTGGCAATCACTCATTCACTGTTCTGAAGAAACGATGCCAAGTATTGTGACATCTTTCTGCCTTTCAAGAGAGTTGAAGGCTTCACTTTTTGTATCTCCTGATGTTCAACAGTTGACAAATGATTCTGTTCCCAGAGCTAACCAAAATAAATGCATAGCTGAATTAGCCCAAAGACCTCCAGTTGGCAAGTTCTGGTTGAAGTATCCCAGTATAGTTCATAGAGGAACTCAAGGGTGTGGCCTAAATAGTTGAAGTATTACAAACATGGTTTTAGGTTACTCAGCTAAAGCCAAGTATGTGAGTAAATGATGGAAGAGCTGGCTTCACAGCCATTCATATAAAAATAGTTGGGAATGCTCTCAA